CTTTACTTTCAGAGGTGTTTCTGTTTTATATCAAAACATACATCATCAAAAAACGCATACCTTCCCCTCAAGGATTTGTTACCTGGTGGAGGGGGCCGGCGGAGGAGTGGAGTGTGAAATTGCTGCTACAGCTGTGGAGTGCCTCTGCTGCCATTACTGGCCAAGGCAGTCTCTCCAGCGGCCGGAGGGGCGGGAGGAGGACTGTGACGTCACCAGATAGTGTACAGTCTCTGAGACCTCCTCGGACCTCTGCGATTTCTCAAGGATGGTCCTGAAGTTGGCCCTGAACAACTCCTCTGGGATGTTGGGGCCCTCCAGCAGGTCTTTCTGCAGCCTCTCGGACAAGGATGGCGAAAGGCGGAACCAGGTGGTCCTCTGGATCATGGTCATCCGGGCGGTGATGCGGGACAGGCAGACCACAGAGATGGCACACATGTTTAAGATGACGTCAGCGGCTTTACAGAGAGAGCTCGTTGTTTCCTCCAGCAGGTCTGCTTCCTCCAGCCTCTTTGAGATGCTGTAGGCCAGCAGAGCGATGTTGTTGTTCGCCGCGACCGCCTGGGATGTGCACTGGTGAGCTCGGTTGGAGAGCTTTGTCACCCTCTGGTCATGCTTTCCTGGAGGGATAGGTTGCCGGTCCATCCTGGAAGTTTTTGCCCCAAGCACCTCTGCCAGGCTTGGCTCCAGGGGAGAGAACTGAGGGGAAAAAAAAACACCCATCGGTAAAACCCCTCCACTCTGGAGATGGAGGCGATGGAGACGGATGTCTTCAGCTTGCCGGGCCCAGCTGCAGCCTCGTTCCAATGTGACGTCACAGCTGGACAGCGAGGCCAGATGGGATCAGGGTGAAAAGCTTGGGCGGAGCCAAACCTTCCCACCAGATCATTCTATCAGGGCGGAGGGAGGCGAGGGACGGAAAGTCCCTTTGTGTTAGCAGCCTCCTGGATTATGCCGAGCAACTCCGAGAGGAGGGCGCTGACAGCTGGGAGCGGTGTGGTCGCCGACGTGGGAAGACCCGAGGTGGCTGAGCAGCCGTTCGACCGCTTTTCTTCTATTATTACGCTTCTAGGAGGGAAGGGGCAGTGAGGTTGTTTCCAGCATCACCTTTCTCGGAAGAGTCATCTGATTCACTGCATGACTCTGCGTCAAAGAAAGGCGGTGGCGGCGTCCCGCGCGTAATGTCCCACCATGGAAAAAAAGACTCAGCGGAGCTGCTGCCCGCATCGCCTTTTTCGAGGGAATCATCCGATTCACCGCGAGGAAAACATGTTAGAAAAGGCAGTGGTGTCGTCCAGCGAGTAGCGGCCCTCCATGGAAAAAAACACTCGGCGGAGCTACTGCTAACTTCGCCTTTTTCGAGGGAATCGGCCGATTCACCACGAGTAAAAAACGTTGGAAAAGGCGATGGTGTCGTCCAGCGAGTAACGGCCCGCCACGGACAAACACTCAGTGGAGCCGCTGCCAACAACGCCTTTTTCGAAGGAATCATCCGATTCACCGTGAGGAAAACACGTTAGAAAAGGCAGTGGCGTCGTCCAGCGAGTAGCGGCCCTCCATAGAAAAAACACTCAGCGGAGCTGCTGCCAACAACGCCTTTTTCGAAGGATTCATCCGATTCACCGTGAGGAAAACACCTTAGAAAAGGTGGTGGCCTCGTCCAGCGAGTAGTGGCCCTCCATGGAAAAAACACTCAGCTGAGCTGCTGCTAACATTGCCTTTTTCGAGGGAACCATCCGATTCACCGCTAGGAAAAAAGGTTAGAAAAGGCGATGGCGTCGTCCAGCGGGTAGCAGCCTGCCATGGAAAAGCACTCCTCAGCACTTACCTTGAACAAGACTGCTCGTCTCTGCTTCTCCTCGGGGAGGAAGAGCTCACCGGGACGGCAGGAGGTTGGCGTGGTGGAGACCCAGGCATCCTTAGCAAAGCTTGTGCCGGTCAAAGCTGGACAACTTTTCCTTCTTCGTTCTTCTGACAGTGCTAGCTAGCTGGCTGAAGAAAAAATGGGAGCCGATTACCCGGTCTCACCATAATTTATACGGACCGGTGTTGAGGCCCACACAGCAGGTGGGTGTGGACAAAAGTCTTCAGTGCTGCGCTGCGCGCGACGGGATAAACCCACTAGCGATAGCATTAAAGGACGAAGCCTATATGAAATAGAACTTGATGTTATTTTTAATCAGGATATGTCTTTTAACCCCTACATTAAAAAAGTTACCAGGGACTTCATGTAAAAAGACTTGCATGGATTTCCTACTGAAACACGGCATATACTTAAATCCTAGTTACAGCCGACCCTATAGTTAGGGTCGGCTTGGGTTTCCTAAGCTATCCTTCAGTTATGCTGCTATAGGCTTAGACTTCTGGAGGGCAAACTGACCACATTTCCTCATTCTGCTGCTGTCCTTACTTGCTCTACTCTACCTGTTTGTATTTGTAATCATTTCTACCTTAACATGTGTTTTTGTCTTTCCTCCAATAGAAAGTACAATTGGACCTGCCATTGTGTATCTGATCCTTCTTCCCGACCTCTCAAACCCAGCCAGTCAAAGCAGATGGCTGCTTGTCCTGAGCCTGGTTCCGCAGGAGGTTTCTTCCTGTTTAAAGGGAGTTTTTCCTTTCCACTGTCTCCTTTGTGCTTGCTCAGGATAGGAGACTGTGATGAAGTGAAGACTCAACACAATCTGCAGGCTTTCTTAGATAGAGAACTCAGTGTTTCCCCTTCCATTATTCAAGAAGGGTGTCCTACCGTCAACCAGTGGTGTAGTCTACGCGATACGCTGGTATACGCCATACACACACTAGAAAAGGTTTGGAATTTCTGTATACCCACTTAAAAGTGCCCAGTGATATGTGACATATCATTGCACATGTCATTATATTGAAATGTCGGGGCAAAATGCGTTGCAAACGCCCTCACAGAACAGCGGTGTCCCTCTTCTTTCTTTTTTTTTGGGGGGGGAGGACAGTCTGCTTGTATTCTGCCAGGCGCGTGTGCCACTTGAGCCCTCCAGCTATGTGAAGCTAGCGGGAGTGATGCAGAGCATCACTGATACTAGGGCAGGTGGGTTTTCAGAATAAAAGTTTAGACCGGATATTTATATTTTAACGTTTCAAAAGTAGTAACGTTTGAAGCCACTAGTTCCAAGTTTTGGGAGCAATAAACAGCAAAACCTTTATTAAACGATTCTTGGTCACATTACATTAAATTTATTTTTTTCAAACAACACAAATTGTAAAAAAACAAAAACACTTCATTTAAAACATTTATATTTACATGAGCCACTTAAAGCCTAAAGAACTTTCATATTTTGTCTAATTTATCCATCCATTATCTTTACCCGTTTATTCCGTTTTGGGTCACGGGGGTCACTGGTGCCCATGTCCAGCAATCACTGTGCGAGGGGCGGGGTACACCCTGGACAGGTCGCAAGTCCATCACAGGGACACATAGAGACAAACGAGACAAACAACCATTCACTCTCTCACTCACATCTAGGGACAATTTAGAGTTACCAATCAGCCTAACGTGCATGTTTTTGGTCTGTGGGAGGAAACCGGAGCACCCGGAGAAAACCCACGCATGCACGGAGAGAACATGCAAACTCCACCCAGAAAGGCCCCTGGACCGGGGGTTGAACCAAGGACCTGCTCGCTGAGAGGCAGCAGCTCTACCAGTTGTGCCACCGTGCTGCCCCTTGTCTAATTTACTTTAACTAAAAATAAAATTACTTATCATAATAAATATGTGTGTGTGTGTGTGTGTGTGTATAACGTATATCCATCCATCCATCCATCCATTCATCCATTATCTTCCGCTTCCTAGAGAAGTGATTCGGGGAAATCAAAATAAACTGATGATTACACTGTACTAACCAGAGTATTTTGGCTTCTAAGCACAGTATACCCACTACAAAAATGTATACTGCACCACTGCTGTCAACAGAACTGAGCACCCCGCTTACCAATTCCCACACCCCCAACGCAACTCCACCCCTTCTGGATGGGGAGTGGAATCAGGGGAGCAATGTACCTGGGGAGCAATACAAACATAGCACTCCACTACCCCCCTCCCCACCCATAATGGCTTCTACCCTGAAGCTGTTAAGACTCATAAATCAGGATTATCACTGTGAAAAAAAATTACTGTAATGTCACTTTGATTGGGGATAGTATGTACTGCTGATTATCCATGCTGCTGATCTCATGCTGCTGTATTCATTCATACTCATCTGCTCACACATACTCATGTTCGTGCTGATGTTTTTCAGCATATTGTTTTGCACTATTAATGTTTAGCCTATTTCTTAGTTTATACCTTGGATCCTTATTACCATTTCTTTTTACAGATTATATTTTTGCTATAATTGGATGTAACTGGGACCCTGTGTACACAATTTTGTTCCACCTCATGTACCGCATGTGATGCGAATGATAATAAAACCTACTCCAACTTGAACTTGAACTTAAATAAACTGAACTGAAAAATAAACAGAATTTTAGTTAGGCATCGAAGGTGATGAGAAGTTATAGAATTACACCATTAGCTTCATAAATTGCAAAACACTAGTTAGTTACCGTAAATATTAAAGACCAAGCATTGTGGGTACCATCAAGAAGGGGCTATTGCCCCCCTGAATCCCCCCCCCACACACACACACACACATACACTGGCACCCCTAAGCAAGGCACTTTCATCCTCTTGAATCCCAAGCTTTAGCTGGGTGATTTTTTTTCTTTACCTTCAAGCTATTTAGGATGTGTAGAACCTCCCAAACATAAAAATATACTTTTTTTAACTCTTAATTTCTTAAAAACCAAATATATATTTAATTTAAAGTAAAACTTTTTTTTATATGTGCCAACACGGGCATACAAGAAGAGTGGAACCTGCAGGAGATGCTGAGAGTGTGTGTGTCAGTCCTTTTAATCTGTATGAAAGACAATTTTTAGCTCCAACACCTGTTCCTAACTGACCTCTTAGTTCAGGGTTAGAGACTAACCTGAGTGTGGGCTCTACTGTCCTGGCCTGATGCAGCTCTTCCTCAGGGTCTCTGAAGCCAGTGAAGCTGTAGTAGCTTTTGTCCCATTTAATAGGTCTGTAGAAAAACAGTCCAGCCTCAGGTGCACTATGAGATGTCTGAGAACTTCCTTTAAGTCCCTTCAAGTGCTCCACAGGCAGGCTGCAGGAAGCCAGAATGTTTATCACAGTGCTCAGGACATCCTGAGTTTGCAAGATGAAACTCACTGATCGAAAACCTGTTAAACAAATTTCATGCTTCAAGATCTCTGAAATCAGAGCCTTACTCTTAAAAAAAAAGAAATGTCTAAACAAACTGTACCTGAGGTGAGCATGTCTGGTTGAACATCACTGTTGTCCTTTGTTTCTCTGACAAAGAAAGTTAGCGTCATGGGCCGGACTGATTTAGAGTCTGACTTCTGAAGGTTTTCCAGATATCCGTTTAATCTCTTTAATGAATTCTCGTTCACTTCCTGTTAAAAAATAAAAATAAAGTTTTTGAAGTGAAGTTGTGGAATAGATGCAACATCCAGAGATTTCTTTCTGAATGTTTGATGTAATTTCATACAGATATGAGGTGGATGAAGGTGATATGAAGAGACCTGAGGCAGGTAACTCCTTTTTGTACCTAAAATTCTGGGAACAGTGACTAAAGCAGCAAAAGCACATTTTGACAAAAGGCTGAACTGACCTGGAGCCTGACAAACTAATGGGCAACAATATGGTGGCTTTTCCCAGTGTTACATCCACAGTGGAGCACTTAGGTTCCTGTTCTAGGAAGCATTCAGTGTGGGACTCTCACAGAGACTGGCTGACCTGAGCATACACAGAGCTGAGTGCAGATACAGAAAAACAGAACCACAAGGGACTGTGCATACACCTCATTAACTCTGACGCGCTTATCATGACCTGCGGTTGGAGAAACGTTGCTGAACCTACAGGTGGTAGATGTTCGTGTTTCAGACATGGTGTTCTTTTTCTTACTCTTAAAATTCCGACACACAAACAAAAAAAGTAAGTTTAAAGATGATATTGAAGGTGGGTTCTAATCATTTGAAACCTGTTTTGCTTGGAAAAAGTTAAAAACTAATTTCTTAGATATCTTGATGCATGCTCAATAATCCTGGTAGAAAAATCCAAAAAAGTTCAATCTGGTCCTCTGGACATTCAAAAAAGCAAAAAACAAAACAAAGCAAAAAAATATATAGAAACGTTTCGTCTCTCATCCGAGAGACTTCCTCAGTCTGAGGTGCTGTTTTCAGATCAGTCTCTTAAATAGCATCTTCTCAGAGTGGATCAACCAGTTTGCTGCTGACAACCAAAACCAGCTGCTCACATGGTCAAGAAGGACCATCAGCCTAACAATGGATCATTAGCACACTGATGGCTGTTAACTATTCACAGGGGGTTGAGTGATACTAGCAATAACAGCAGTGTAAGGGGGGACAGTTGGACCCGGAGGCTCCACCCCTGTTTAATGATGGACGATTTCTTTTCACAAAGATGGCCTTTACACCTCTCTCAAACCATTGTTCCTATCGTTCCTCTCTGTCCAGGATGTGAACATCTTCATCCCTGAAAGAGTGACCGCTGGCTTGGAGATGAGTGTAGACCGCAGAATCCTGGCCTGATGATGTTGATCTTCTGTGCTGGGCCATCCTTTTGGCCAGTGGCTGTTTAGTTTCCCCGATGTAAGACTGATCACAGCTCTCCTGACACTGAACAGCATACACAATATTACTCTGTTAGTGCCGGGGGACTGGATCTTTGGGATGAACCAGTCTTTGCCATAATGTATTTTGGGGTTTAAAAGCCACTGGGACGTTATGTTTAGAAAATAAACGTCTCAATTTCTCTGATACTCCCTCAACATATGGAATGACCACTGGTCTGGGTCTGGGTTCCTCCTTTTCACCTGATGGCTGACTGGAGTCCTGTTTGGTTTCTTCTCTGCTTTCAGGAAGGCCCAGTTAGGATATCCACATTGCTCTAGAGCCTGTCTTGTGTAGAATTTCTCCTTCTGCCTGGCTCCTGAGTTAGTGGGGATGCTGTCTGCTCTGTGATTCAGAGTCCTGATGACTCCGAACTTGTGCTCCTAAGGGTGATGGGAGTCAAACTGCAAATACTGGTCTGTGTGGGTGGGTTTGCGGTACACCTCGGTTTGCAAATGTCCTCTATCAGAGACTGAGACCTCACAGTCCAAGAAAGCCAACCTGCCATTTTTTACATCTGCTCGTGTGAACTTTATGTATTTATCCACAGAGTTGATGTGGTCAGTAAAATGTTGGACTTCCTGAGATTTAATTTTAACCCAGGTGTTATCAACATACCTGAACCAATGACTTGGTGGTGTCCCTGAAAAGGACGTCAAGGCTCTCTTTTCTACCTCCTCCATGTACAGGTTGGCAACAATAGGAGAAACTGGAGACCCCATAGCACATCCATGTTTCTGCCTAGAATATTGCTCCCCATATGTGAAGTAGGTTGACTGCAGGCACAGTTTCAAGAATTGACACAGTTGTTCTGTGGAAAGCGTGGTCCTGCTGCTCAGAGTGGTGTCTGATTTTAATCTTAAACTGACCACCTCTACTGCATCATCAACAGGAATGCACGTAAAGAGTGATGTGACATCAAAAGAAACCATTGTTTCATCAGTCTCCATGATGACATCCCTCACCTTATCCACAAAGTCCGTGGTGTACCTGTATGTGGTGTTCTGAGCTGCCAACTAAAGGGAAGAGTACAGACGCCAGATATTTGGAAACATTGTAAGTGACAGAGTTAATCATGCTAACAATTGGTCTTAAAGGTACACCTTGTTTGTGGATTTTAGGTAAACCATACAGACTAGGTGTGGCCTTCCCTGGGTAAAGTCTGTGGTACAGAATACGGTCAATAGCCTTGTCCTGCTCCAAATTTTTCAGGCAATCTATTAACTTCTTCTTGTAACCACTTCCTGGATCTCTTTTCAGAGGTTCATAAGTAGTTAAGTCACTAAGGAGTGTCATAACTTTCTCATGATAGTTGTAGTAAGTCAGGCCAGCTTTGCTGTTAGCTTCACTACTAATTAATTATTCTTAAAGCTAGTTCAAGCACAAAGAGTATTGATTGTAAATTACAACGGATTATTTTCTTTTTCGAGTTAAATTAATGCCATGTGACCAAGATAACTGTGAGTGGATTGTTTAATCAGTGACATGAGACGCCATTTTATCTTTGACCCATCAGAATAAATGCGGTCATTTATTTAACAGAATCAAAATTTAACATCAAAACATGTACACATTGATTTGCTGATCTGTTTCTGATTAATAAACTTGTCATGATTTACTAACAAGACAACAGAACATTACTGATTGAGGCCGATTCACCTCTGAAGGCATCTAGATTACTGGCGAATAGAAAAGTTTAAAGAGAAGACATAGATTTAAAGAGGAAGATTGATGAAGGAAGATGGATGTTTGTTGACCAGAATTAACACTCTTCTTTCAACACCAGCTTAACCCCCGGTCCACTTAGTGCGTGACAACTCGTGACATCTCTTCACCTTTGCAGTGGATGGATCAGCTCCAGTATAGAGGTCCCTTTGCACGCTACCTTTCAGCGTCTTCGGTCAGGGTGGCTGGTCATCGTCCAAAGTCATGACGATGTACTCCGTTCAACAGAACAAGCTTCTTTCGAAGTTGTAGGGCGTTACGCCCGGGTGAGTTCACAGCGACTGTGACTCCGCTGGGATGGACGGACCCTTGTCTCATGGTCAAATCCATCAGCTATTGATTAAATCTGAAAGTTCCTTAGGAACCCTCAGTAAGACTCCAGTCAGAAATTCCACTCAGAAGTGGAAGACTCCTGGGAAGACTTCATAGTGGAAGAACTGAAAGACTTCAAAGACTCGAGGAAGACTGAAAGAAGACTGAATAGTCCCAGGAAGTGTTGACTTTTTAAAGAGTACTCACTTCCTGTCACTTGGTACTTCCTGATTGGTTGAAACAACCAGCAGGGGCGGTGTTTCAGTGATGTCAGAGGGTTATTAAAAGTCAATAGACAGCAGAAATGTTTAAGAACGGTTAGTTACAGACGAGAAAAAATATTTTGAAGAAGTGAGAAACTTTGCAGGTGCCAGCTTCTTATTTACTGTCTGAGAGTTTTCAAACAAGGCACTTCGTTCTCATAACTTGCTTTCTGACTTCTGACCGACATGCCTTACTTCTGACCGACATCAAATCCACTAATTCAGAAAGAAGATCAAAATGCACAATTACTTTGTAAATAGACATTTAACTTGATTTCCAAGTCTAATGAGGTTTAAAAATCATTAATACTGTTTCACAGTTGATTTAAATGAGTGGTTCACTTCAACATTTAGAAATGGTTTGAACTAAACACACTTTGGATTATCAAGATATCTTAAAATAGTAATGATAATGTAAAAAGGAAGAGTGTTCTTTCAATTTATTAATTCAGGATACAATTAAATAGTCTCTTGATGAGATAATTTGTATTTCTAGATTCAGATCAATGAAATAACAGTTCTTGTCCCCTGAAAGTCTTCAGAGACAGGTTGAGGTCGGAGGCCTAGTTCACTACATAGTCTTTCTGGTTCAAAATCACTGTGCACCTTCCTTTGTCTGCTGGGAGAATGATGATGTTTTTGTCCTTGCTAAGAGTGGTGAGTGCATTCCTCATTTGGACATTTGCAAACCGAGGTGTACCGCAAACCCACCCACACAGACCAGTATTTGCAGTTTGACTCCCATCACCCTTTGGAGCACAAGTTAGGAGTCATCAGGACTCTGTATCACAGAGCAGACAGCATCCCCACTAACTCAGGAGCCAGGAAGAAGGAGAAATCCTACACAAGACAGGCTCTAGAGCAATGTGGATATCCTAACTGGGCCTTCCTGAAAGCAGAGAAGAAACCAAACAGGACTCCAGTCAGCCATCAGGTGAAAAGGAGGAACCCAGACCAGTGGTCATTCTATATGTTGAGGGAGTATCAGAGAAACTGAGACGTTTATTTTCTAAACATAACGTCCCAGGGGCTTTTAAACCCCAAAATACATTACGGCAAAGACTGGTTCATCCCAAAGATCCAGTCCCCCAGCACAAACAGAGTAATATTGTGTATGCTGTTCAGTGTCAGGAGGGCTGTGATCAGTCTAACATTGGGGAAACTAAACAGCCACTGGCCAAAAGGATGGCCCAGCACAGAAGATCAACATCATCAGGCCAGGATTCTGTGATGTACACTCATCTCCAGGCCAGCGGTCACTCTTTCAGGGATGAAGATGTTCACATCTTTGATAGAGAGGAACAATGGTTTGAGAAAAGAGTAAAGGAGGCCATCTTTGTGAAAAGAAATTGTCCATCATTAAACAGGGGTGGAGGCCTCCGGGTCCAACTGTCCCCCTCTTACACTGCTGTTATTGCTAGTATCACTCAACCCCCTGTGAATAGTAAACAGCCATCAGTGTGCTAATGATCCATTGTTAGGCTGATGGTCCTTCTTGACCATGTGAGTAGCTGGTTTAGGTTGTCAGCAGCAAACTGGTTGATCCACTCTGAGAATGTGCTATTTAATAGACTGAGCTGAATACAGCACCTCAGACTGAGGAAGTCTCTCAGATGAGACAAAACGTTTCTATATTTTTTTGCTTTGTTTTGTTTTTTGTTTTTTTGAATGTCCAGAGGACCAGATTGAACTTTTTTGGATAATTTATTTAGACTTACCCGTTCTCTGGGATATTGACCGAAGAAGTCTGGATGGACAGCAAAGTAAAACGGTCGTAGTGCGTTGACAGCCTCTGCCCCCGACAACGTTCTGTGGTGGGTGAAACGTGTGACTAGCTGCTTCCTCTGAGACCTACACACAAAAACACTCATGTTAGTGATCAGACTCAGCCTTCTGCTGATCATGAATGCTGCTGCCAGAGCTCTGATAAGACATCATATTTCTCCAGTCTTAGCTTCTCTCCATTAGCTCCCTGTCAAATTCAGAATCAACTTTAAAATCTTACTTCTAACCTTCAATGTGAGACATTCAACAACCTAGCTCCATCTTATATAATAGATCTTAGTGTTCCATATTTTCCTAACAGAGCACTTCGCTGGACTGGAGACCTGTCCAGGGTGTCCCCCGCTACTTCCACAGTGACTGCTGGACATAGTAAATGGTTAATGGACTGTACTTACATAACGCCTTTCTATCTTATTTCAAGATACTCAAAGCGCTTTACACTACAATCTGTGTCGTCATTTACCCATTCATACAGCACTCTACTAGATCTCCACAAAGCTAATTGAACAAATCATTCTAATGAGACTAATCAGTGCTTTAGATTACATTCACACTGATGGGACACACATCAGAGGTAATGAAGGGTTCAGTGTCTTGCCCAGGGACACTTCAGCATGTGACTGCTGGTGGATTTGAACACCCAACTCTCACATTGGAGGACGACTGCTCTAACCACTCAGTCACAGCCACCCAACCACAGCTGCCCATATGGGCACCAGTGACCCCCTGCGGCCCAAAAAATGAAAAAGCGGGTAAAAGATAATAAACTAGTCTCTCGTTTATCGAGAGGGATCCGTACCCTGAAGCCCCACAATAAGTGGAAAAACCTCGAAGTAGGAATAGGAGTACAAGTAGTAAGTAGTTTATTTTAGTATTTTAATAATTAAAAAAAAAAGAAAACAAATATGTAT